ATGGTATAGAATATGATCCTCAAATTCTTCTTTAAGGAACATATATTCTTTTCTGAAAGTAGTAGAATATATAGAGCCCGGTTAACTGCTGACTTCTTTGTTGGTAGATGATAAACCCTAAACTTGTTAGCAAGCAGTGTATGAGAACTACTTTTAAATAACAAGTGCCGTCACCACGGTGAGTGATAAGCTCTAAACCTATTAGCAGATAGCGTATAAGAACTATCTCTAAATAACAGATGCCAGTTTATAGTTTTTATCAGTCTTCTGCCACTTTTTGCTTCTATAGTTTACTGTTTTTTAGAAAAAAGGTTTGTTGTAATTTTGGTATAAGGGATCGTCAGAAAGAGTTCCTAGATACTGTATATATACAGACAATTCAAAGCTTATATATATAAAAACTATAAATCTTTAAACTATCTTTTTGCTAATTATTTAATCAATAAATATAACAGTTATTAGCAACTAAAACATATTGCATTCTATTGTTTCCAACAAGTATTTAAATAAGTTATATATTATACTTGTAATTAGAAAAATTATTTTTATAGACACTGTTCTTAATATATATATATATATATAATATAAATTAAATTTATTAAAACTTTAACTATTAATTCATAGTTAATATATATACTATAATAACTGACTAAATTTAAATATTAAGCCTAAATCTTTTTGTTAAAAAGCTTGTATCTGTTTAAATTAAACAGTTAAAAATAAAAATTTATTTAAATCTAATATAATAAAATAGTTTAAGATAACAACATTTCTAGTTACTTTTATTTTATAGTATAATTTGATATAGTTTAAAAAATAATAAACATTGTTATATTAGCAATATACTATATATATATATTAGTATTTTTAAATTTTCATTAAGTAACTTCATGTAACTTCTAATTGTAGTACAAAACTGATTCTACCAATAGAATCCTTAATATCAATTTTCTTAGCATAGTTTTTACTGTTTGTTAATTGAGTTAATAGTTAACAAGTTATTAAGATTTAAAGATATATAACTATAGAAAATAATAAATAACAATTTGTCATACCTGTAACATAAGACCTGTTGGTACAGACTAGTGATGCAGGCGGAACTGTCCCAATAAACCGTACGGCATGCGGCAAGTTACGGTTACGGTTACGGCAAAAACCATAGAATCCCAAATGCCGTATGAATTTAAAAATACCATAATTCAAATTAATACACCGATCAATAAATGTAATTAATCAATACTACAATCATGTAATTAACGTTAATAGTCATCATAATATATGTAATTAATACGTAACTAATCATATGTAATATAATGATAGTAAAAAAAATTGTTTATACTTTTTTAAATTATTGTTTTTAATTATTTTCAACGAAAGTTTTTTATAATGAATTTAAGCAAAGATAAAAATAATTCTATTCCGGAAGATAATAATAGTTATGATCCATGCTCTTCATTAGCTGAATTAAATTACAACATCAATCAACTTTTTACATATCAGTCTTCTCAACAAATATCAAGACCACTTCAGGAACAAAATGAAATTATTACGCCTGCTCAAGGTAATGATGATTACAATGCATTATCTGAAGAAGAAGGCTCCTCTGATCAACCTAAAAAAAAGCGTCGTGGTGGACCTAAACGAGACCCAGTCTGGGATTATTTTAACATTGGTGATGATTTAGGAGATGGGCATTATGGAGCGAGTTGTAAACATTGTCCACTTGAATGGAATCGCGGAAGGCCACAAAATCTTAAACGGCATTTAGCACGAGAATGCACAGATGTTCCTCAAGAAATTAAAGAAATGTGGCGTGACAATTTAGCAACAGAAGAAAAAACAATTAAAAGGCGGAATAAAATTGAATCTAGATTATATTCACAGTTTAATATTTCTAATCAATTAGATTCAGAAATAATATCTGAAGAAAGGCAGCGACAAATAGATAGAGCTGTTTTGAAGGGTTGGATTTGTGCTGGAATTCCATTTGAGACTATAGATAACCCATTTATTATTGACATGTTTAAAACTTTAAATATTGGATACAAACCTCCTTCACGATTTACTCTTTCTGAACGTATTCTGGATGAAGAAATTGCTAAAGTTGAAAAATTAATAGATGCTGAATTAGAAGATGAAAAGAATTTAACTTTAAGTAAATAAAAAAAATTTTATATTATTGTATTTTTTTTTTATACGTATTTAATTTTTTTTTAATAAATATATTTTTAGCTCTTGATGGGTGGACTGCACCTACGGGTGCATCATTTTATAATTATATAATTACAACTCCTAGTCGACGGGAGCATCTATTTCAAATTAAAGATTACTCTACCATATCACAAACAGGAAATTTTTTATCTGAGGAAATTAATGATGTTTTAAATGAAGTGGGACCTGAGAAGTTTGCTGCAGTTGTCACAGATCATGGTTCTAATATAAGACGTGCAAGACGATTAGTTAATGAGCAATTTAATTTTATACTTAATGTACGATGTGGTGCACACGCAATAAACCTCATAGCATCAGATTTAGCCGAAACAGATGAAATTAAAATTTTAATTAAGCAATGTGGATCAATAGTAAATTTTTTTCATCATTCAACATTGGCTAATGGATATTTAAAAAAAGGCATAGCAACCATGAATATTGAAGGTGGTGAGCTCAAGACATATTGTAAAACACGGTGGGGATCACTTTGTATGACTGTAGATTCTATAATCCGTATACAGCCAGTATTTGATTGGGTAAACTTGTTATCATTATTATATTTTTAATAAATTAAAATTAATTTTATTTTAATTAATATATATTTTTATATATTAGCTCATTAATAATCATGCTGTTACGATTTCTAACCAGATAGTTTTTGATTTAATTCAAAATCATGAATTTTTTAATCAATGCCGTCAGATATCATCAATATTAAAACCTATTAAGGATATGGTGAATCAATTAGAAAGTCGGCATGCAACTATTGCTGATTGTTATGTAGCATTGATTAAAATAGCTGCGGCTATAAACCGTCTTCCTGATGTCAACTTATTTAAGCCTAAAGCAATCAAGATTTACAATTCACGGTTTAAAGAATTCGCAACACCATTGTATCAGCTTGCATATTATTTACACCCATTATATCGAGGTAATTTTAGCTTAATATATATATAATATGTATAATAGTATAATTAATTTATTTAATATATATTTGAAATTTTAGGTATCGGATTAAAGCGAGGTCAATTTTGTGTAATTAGTGAAACTGCAGGTATAATGTGGAAAGAATTAGGAAATGATGAACCATCATGTGATGATTTATTAATGGAGCTTCGTGCCTATAAGCGTAATGAAAAACCTTATAAGCAAACATTTAAAAAAGAAAAAGAATCAGCACTAAAATGGTGGCTAAGTGTTGACGCTCAAAAAGATGAATTAGTTGAACTAGCCATTAAAATTTTTTCTATTCCACCATCTCAAGCCGTATGTGAGAGAAACTTTTCCACACTAAAATGGATATTTGGTGACCGAAGAACAAGGCTTAATATCTTTCGCTTGGAAGCAATAGCAAAGATTCGGGCATTTTGCTATACCAATATTAAAAATGAATTATCCTTTTATGGCAAGGAGCTATTGGAATGTGATTTAAAAGACAGTGTAAATGGGTCAACTATCAACGCTAGCCAAATGGAATTTATTGAACAATCAGAAAAATTTTCTGATTCATTTGAGCCTATTTCTGGATCTTGCAACATACGATTGGATGAATTAAACGATACTAATTTGCTAATCGATGAAGTTATTGATCTTTCAAACCCGGCCTTTGTTGGCAATAACAATTCGTTTATCGAAAGTCAAAGTATGGTATCAACTAATAGCACTCAACGAGTTGGTGCAGGAAATCTTAATTACAATCCAGCAGATTTGGTGGCTCGGATTTTTAATGATGAATAAATAAAGTAATAGATGCATTCGCTTCACAGTATGGTTCTTTCATAAAATATATTTTAGCATTAGTACATATTAATGAATGATAAATAAAATAATAGCTTCACAGTAATGTTTTTTTTTTCATAAAATATATTTTAGCGTTAGTGCATATTAATGAATGAATAAATAGAATAATAGATGCATTTGCTTCACAGTATTCATAAATATATTTTAGCATTAGTGCATATTCATTTCTATATGCGTATAGTTCTACATTTGTGGAAGCTGTAACGATAATACGTATAACGGCAATAAAAAATTTTTAAATTACGGCAAGTTACGGCATATAAACTTGAGTTACGGTACATATAAAAGTTATAACATAAACTACTATATTAGTATATACGCAAGTTATAATATACCGTAATTTAGATCAAAAAGTTATAACTGGTTATAACTCAGTTACGACACGGCTTATCCCAATGCTTTAAGTTCCGCCTGCATCACTAGTACAGACCTATTAATATAGACCTATTGGTATAGGCACAGACTCATTGACACAAAATATTATTCATTTTTATATAGAGTTCTAAAAAATATAAAAATCCTGTCTTTTTGCCCAAAGCAGATTAGATTCTGCCAGGTTTTAACTTGTATTTTCCTAACCTTTTTTTATTAAGAGTAGAGTAAATGTAGATTAATTTCTATATACAGTATAACCTGTCAAAACTGATGTGCATAGTGTACCAAATTTGTATTAGTTTTAACAGGTTATAAGGTTTGAAAAGTAAAATTACTATATTTAATTAAGAGATAGTAGATTAATTTTTTATTAGTTTTGACAAGTTATCAGTTTTGATAGCATTAGTTTTAACAAGTTATACTGTATATATATTGTCTAAAAAAAATTTATGCAAAAATTAAGCATATGTTATATATAAAAGTTTTTAAAAATATAATTTTTTTTTATGAAATTTTTACAGTATATATATTAAACCTGTCTAATTATGATTATATAATTTTAAACTACTGTTATATTCAAAAAAAATATACTTATATATATTGCTAATTCTTCTTAGAATAACCAAAATTTGTCTAGGTTATACAATATAAATAACACATGATTATCACCTGATTTCAATTGAATGTTATTATAAAAAAATTAGTAATATGATCACTAGTAAATTTAATCAATATTTACTCTACCCTTAAATAAATAAAATAACTTTAATCATATACCCACTACCATGTATATACTCTTTTTATTGTGTTTTTATAATGATTTTATAGTGTTTTCTTTAAGTTTTTCTTGAGTTTTTATTCTATTTTTATTGTATTTTTCTAGGTTTTTTCTCCTATTTCCTATACTTTATATCCTATATTCTAAATTATTTTTGAGTTTATATTCTTTGAGTTTATTCTCTTTGAGTTATATCTGAGTTTTATTTGAGTTTTACCTTTTGTATATATATATTCTTACTCTCTTTATATTAAGTCAAGTGGTATAGTTAGCAAGACCAGTTATCTATACTACAGTTTTGGCAATGATAACAGAATTTGTAATTCTCTGTATCTATTTTAATAAATCTTTTATATACAAGTTATACTTCTTCTTTATATTTCTTTCTTATTTTCTTCTTTCTTATTTTTTTCTTTCTTGCTTTTTGCTTTTTTTTTTCTTGCAACTTTCTTTTTTTTCTTATTTGTTTATTTTTAACTCTCACGTAATTTGGTTTCACTAATCATCTTATCATTACACAAGGTACTCTCATGCTACTTTAAAAATAATTATTTTATTTTTTCTTACCTTAGCTTCTGTAATAACTAGGGGATCCCAAAAATAATATTTGGATAATATTACACAAAATAAAAATTTTTTCTTTCTTATACCTTATCTATTTTACTATATTTTACTATATTTTTCTATTGAATATTTTATTTAAATTATTAAATTTTTTTAAATTTAATAATTCCTTCTAATTACTTTTAAAAATTTCTTTTTATTTTATATTTAATTTATTATTCTTTATCACTTTTACTCCTCTTTATTTATTCTTCTTTTATCTTATATTTTCTTAATTTATAGTATAAAATAATAGCTAAATTTGTGAATAATACTGTTGTAAGTATTAGCTTTATATTATAAAGAATTTAAAAAGCCATATATAGCTTATAACAGTCTAATTATTAGTACTTGGTACTTTGGTACTTTTATTCCTCTAGTTATATCTATAAATATCTTTATGTTCTTATAGCTAATAATCCTTATAAAGAAAAAACACATTAGTGTTCTACTGGCTAATACAAAAAGAATAGTAGATAAAATATCTCTTTTTGATCTACTGAATAAGCCTTATAGTATCTAGAAGGCTATTGAATTTAAATTCTATTATTTTTTTTAATTCTTTTTATTTTCTTTATATATATATATTATTATCCTTTTTTCTTCTTTTCTTTATTTTTTTAAAAATTTCTTTTTATAAAATCTTTTTCACAAAAATATTTTGATTTTGCTTGGCAATTTTTAAACCATATTCCAACTAGTAAAAAATATAATAGTATAGTTGAAAAACTTGAAGTAGCTATTAACTTACTTTAATTTGAATTACCTTTTACTTTTGAACAAACTTATACTCTATTTAAATATTCTAAATTCTCTAATTTTTCTTGGAGCAATAGCAAATCCAAACTATTATCTAAGGAACTTTGGAACAATGAATGATTTGTCAACTCTGATTTTAATATACTTGTCAACCTTCTGTTTATTATTTAGAATTCCCTAATTCTGACAATTTACAAAGTATTACTTATACCTTACTATCTAAGAGAATCTCTGTTTTATTACATTACTTTTATATTGCAGCTGAGTGTGCAGAACTAAAATTATTTGAAACAGAAATAAAAAATAATACTTCCTCTTGTGACAGTATTCATCAACTATCCAAGTTTTAACAACAACATAGATTTTTATTTCATCTTGATTAATTCTTTATGAATATTGTCCAATATCAAAATCTAATTTAAGATTATAAATTTTTACATAATACTAATCAAACAATTACTAAAGCAAAATATAGTAGCAGACCCAATCCTAGCTAAGCTATCTCAGTGAATATTAGACCAATTTTGATGATTTAACTACTATTATAATAGTAGTAATTTGCTGAACCCTGCTTATTATTGCAAGTTTACAAATTTACTTAATATATTTTGCAACTATTTGTATTTTTTAAAATTTAAAATATTATACAAATATTATAATTAAGCTATTTTAGCAAATATTGGGCCAATTTTAATGATTTAACTACCATTATAACTATAATAATCTGCTAAACCCTGTTTATTATTGCAAGTTTACAAATTTACTTAATAAATTTCACAACTATTCATATTTTTTTAAAATATTGCACAATATTACAATGCTTGCACAATATTATAGTTTTAAAATTTTGCTAATATCTTAGCAAATATTAGGTTAATTTTGATAATTTAACTACTATTATAACTAAAATAATCTGCTGAATATTGTTTGTTATTACAAAGTTGTAAATTTTTTTAATATGTTTCGAACATATTTATATTTTTTAAAATTATTACGCAATATTGTATATCAATTATAATTATTATACAATATTACTGTTTTAAAAATTTGCTAATATGTTTTGTAATTTGCTAATAAACTTTAACAATTTTTAAATTTTTTACAATATTTTGAATATTTTTTATCTAAAATATTTTAAAATATATTTATTCAAAGTTTTCGAAATATTTTGCAAAATATTGCAAAATTTTTTGTAAAATATTTTGAAATTTAATTTTTTGAAAGTTTTTAAAATATTTTGCAAAATATTGTGTGAAATATTTTAAAATTTTGATTTTTTGAAAGTTTTTAAAATATTTTGCACAATATTGCATTGTTTTTGCATATCACAAATTCTTGCACAATATTTCATATATATAAATTTGCTGATGTTTTATATAATTCATGATATATTAGATCTTGGAGTTTACAAACCATGAATATTAGATGGCAAAAAAGTTAAAGATCCAGTTTATAGTGATTATTTAAAATTGTATCACGAAAGATAAATTAAGGATCTACCCATACTTCAAATTATTATTACACAAAGTAATAGTCTACAAACAAAAATTATATAATTTCAATTTTTATAAATATACCCTTTGTTCTAGTATTTTCTCTAAAATTCTTAAATCTTAAAAATTCTTTATTAATTAATTTAGAAATTTTTATTTTAGTTTTATATATATAGTCTTTTTATATTTCTTATTATTTATTTGATTATTACAAAATGCAGCAATTAAATAAATCTTTTTTTGAGGTGTGGTGACTTAGTGAAGTGGTGGAGTTGTCACACCCCAGATGGCAGGTCTAGAGTTTGAATCCCATGGATGATGTTTTTGAAAAATAGCTCTGTGATATGGTTAACGGCTATTCAACGATTGGTAGGATCTAGAAATCTGTAATCTCAGTCACACCATCTAGAATGGGAGCTTTGGCGTAATAAATCTAAGATACCGGAAGAACTGGAAACCCTTTTGGCTAGTCCTGAGT